TGATTAATCAAAATATTAGTAACATAATAAACGCACGTGTACTAAATATATTAATTAAATACGAATATAATATATATATATATATATATATATATATTATATTCGTATTTAATTAATATATTTAGTACACGTGCGTTTATTATGTTACTAATATTTTGATTAATCACACAATGAATTATTTTTAAAAATATTAATTTAAAAATATGAATTACACACGCGAGACTTTTTTTGTATTCGCTCAAACATCAATGTATACCATAAAAACAAACCCCAAAATAAACTAAACGAATTTACATTACTCAAATGTGAATAAATAGGTTTTAGTAATTAATCTTTGTTACGTTGCGATAATAAATTATCGATTAATCGTAAATGTTATTCGAACTTTTGACTTTACGATACTTTCTATTGACAATATGATTGACATAGAAAAAACAAACATAAAGAAATAATGAAATAGAGAGAAAGAGAAAGAGAAAAAAATAGAAAGATAGAAAGAGGGAGAGGATTAGAAGAAAATATAATAGGAGTACTGATTATTGATCGTTGGCAGAATAGTTTGCGTCAGCGCAGACGGTAGTAGAGAAAGAAGAAGAAGGAAAACGGGCGTTCTCGCAGTAAACGCATACAACAGATCAGTTTAACATATAGTTGACAGTTCAGTTTTATTATATACTAAGTATTACGATAATATATATATGTATATACATATATATATCATTATTTAACGCGTTGTTGTTGAATTGTTTTTGTTGTTGTTGTTGTGATAATATGTATTATAACATTATACATGACATTTATATTTGTCTGTTGATACTTTAATTATTAACGAGATTAACGATTAAGTTCGATCATTTTGTATTTTAATGCTAATCCATTATATGAATTATTCAATATTCGATAATACGTTAAATACGTCGTATGGTAATTTTTATCATCGATTAGAAAAGTGTTTTTTTCAGGATAAAAAAGAGTTTAAAATTATTTGGAAGAAATTATTAATAATAAGAATTCTATTCTGATTGTGTGGAATAATGTGAGTGTGTGTTTTTAAATTTGTTTTTATTCATTAATCGTTAATTATAATGATAATGTATATAGTGATGGATATAAAAAGTATTCGTAGAGAGTAAATATGGGAAATGAAAAGTATATTTTTGTATTTTTTTATATATATATTATTAATTGTAATAAATTATATATGGTGTTTTTTTT